CAGGACCTGCAGCTCTGCCGAGAGGCTGGCGGCTGGGACGTGGTCAGTGCCGTGGCTGAGTTCTGGTGCAGCCGTGTGGAGTGGAGCCCTGAGGAGGAGAAGTACCACCTGAGGGGTAAGGCGCCTGGGTGGCCCTGGGGCAGGGTGGGTGGTGACAGGTGGGAGGGGGGCTGGCAGGCACCTGATGTGCCCCAGCTGCACGCTGCCTGCTGTATTAGGGCAGGCCCCTGAGCCCTGCACTGAGCCCCGCCTTGAACTCATGCTCCCAGGAGTCATGCCTCCCGACGAGTACCACTCCGGGGTCAACAACTCTGTGTACACCAACATCTTGGTTCAGAACAGGTCAGACCTGCCCCAGCCCCACCCCACCAGGCAGTGCCCAGCTGGGAGCCCTGAGCTGCAGCCTCCTTCCCCACCCCCAGCCTGCACTTTGCCGCCGCCCTGGCCCAGGAGCTGGGCCTGCCGGTCCCCAACCAGTGGCTGGAGGTAGCTGACAAAATCAAGGTGCCCTTTGACCCGGAACAGAACTTCCACCCCGAGTTTGATGGATATGAGCTTGGTGAGTGGTCTCTGAGCGCCTGCAGGCCCTCTCCCTGCAAGGCCTCCCCATCAGCAGTCCCCTCCCCCAGGAGAAGAGGTGAAGCAGGCAGATGTCGTGCTCCTGGGACACCCTGTCCCCTTCCCCCTGAGCCCTGATGTCCGCAGGAAAAACCTAGAGATTTACGAGGCTGTGACATCTCCCCGGGGCCCTGCCATGACTTGGGTGAGGAGCCTGGGGTGGGCGGTGAGCCTGCCCTCGGGCCTTGGTCTTCCCTCCCCACACAGGGAGCCTCATCAGCTTGTCTTCTGACCCCTGACCCCAGAGCATGTTCGCTGTGGGCTGGATGGAGCTGAAGGACCCAGCGAGAGCGCGGAGCCTCCTGGACAGGAGCTTTGCCAATGCCACTGAGCCCTTCAAGGTCAGCCGGACGGCCGTGACCCACACACTAACCACACCTGCCTCCTGCTGGGCCTTGGCATGGTGGCAGTAAACCCCAGCCAAGCCCCAGGGTCGCAGCCTGGCACGTCCTGCCTGACTGTGGGCTGGCATCCTGTCGGTGACTGCCCTGTCCCCTGCAGGTGTGGACGGAGAATGCGGATGGGTCAGGGACTGTGAACTTCCTGACGGGCATGGGGGGCTTCTTGCAGGCTGTGCTCTTCGGGTGCACTGGGTTCAGGTGAGTGCAGTGGCCGGCGGAGGGCATCTCCTGCCCCTACCCTCCTCACAAAACTCTCCCCCCATAGGATCACCAAGGCGGGCATAACCTTTGACCCCATGTGCCCAGCCGGGCTCTCTGGAGTGTGTGTCTCTGGCGTCTGCTACCAGGGGAACAAGCTCAACTTCTCCTTCTCCGAGGACTCTGTGACAGTTGAGGTCACAGCCCGGGCAGGGCCCTCTGCCCCACCACTGGAGGTCGAGCTGTGGCCATCACAGTCTCGGCTGCCCCCGCCACCGGGGATGCGGCTCCCCCCCCCGAACTGCATGACGAACCCCGGGACC